CCCCTCCCTTTTCAAAAAATGTCTGCCAAAATTCTGAATTTCACTCACACCCATTCGTCAATAATTCATTTTGTCCACAAGGTAGATTTTCCGCCGATTTAGAATCCGTCCCTGGCGACGTGTTTTTCCGGATACACATAAACCTGATCGACCAATCGCTTGTCGACTCTTTGAATACAAGACATGTATGTACCATGGCAACGAGTGAATATAAACACATCAAGTTTGAAATTAGCTGTCAGTAAAAGCGTATTTATTGCAATTAAACTTTTAAATGAACGGGTTTTTACCGGTTTCCTTTGGAAAAAGGTGTTTTATTTGTTGGAATTGTCTCTCGAAGGATTGAAGGACCCGAAAATGTGACTTTAAACTAGAAAATTTGCGATTGTAAAGAGAAAGTAAAAGAATAGAGTTGGCGGTGTAATGGTATAATGTGATTGAATCATTGTATTGACAGGCCAATAACCAGAAGGTGCGAGGATCGAATCCCCAATTATAGGGGTTAAGTAAGCTTCTTTTGCTTCAACCCCAAACTTTTTTATTTGCTTTTTTTGCGATGTTGACGATGCGAATGCTTTGGTTTGTTTCAGTTTGTAAGTGTTTTCATTTTTTTTGGGTTAGTGAGTATTTTTTTCTTTTTCTGGGTTTGTAGGTTTTTTCCTGTATTTTTTGGATTAGCTTGGGTTAGTTTGTTACAATGTTTAAACCAAATATGGTATCTTTGCGAAGATTTAAATATATTACTTTCATTTGAAAATTATTTTCCACAAGTCACACACAAAGCCGGCATTTAAAATTTGTGGTCTAGTAATAAAAGTAGTTTTTTCCTGGTCAAACCTGCCAACGAAGAAAAGTGGCCTTAGATTAGAAATGACCAATCGTGGTAAATGGCAACGCTGGACTTGTCTTTTGTTTAACTGTTCCGAGATGGAACAGACGACTTGTCAGAATTTTAATTTCTGCGCTTCAAATTCTGGATTCTGGCAGAAAAGGGTATTTTTCCAAAAAATATTTCAAGTCAAAAGTGTTGGAAATTGGAAAAACCACAATATGAGTAGTTTTTCAATTTTTTTAATCATTCTCGTTAGCCGAAATCCACCGAATAGATCCCGGCAGTAAAAAAAAACCGTTTCATATAAAAGTGTGACGGAAAAAATATGTGCAGTTGGGAAAAGCCGTAGAAGAGGCCTGAGCGTAAAGCTGCGGAAAGTTTTATAAAAATTTCTTTAAAGTCTGAGTTTTTTCGGCTTAGTAATTATTGGTCTCAAAATGTATGTATTAATCCAGCTGCGCTATTTCTCTAAAAAAATCGAAGCATGGAAACTAAACCGGACAGAAATTTAAAATTTTTACTGTCTGCAGCAGATGATCTGACTGAAGCTGCAGAAGTTTCATAAAAATTCCCCCAAGTTTTGATTTTTTAGAGCTAAGTAAATATCGGAATCAAACTTGAGGTTTTTACTCGTCTGCGCTTTCGTTTATAAAACGCTATTCTGAACCAAAAGCAAATAATCGTTTAAAATTGTCATTCCCGTTAAAAAAAAACACTGAATCCTAAATATTTTAAAAGTTTCAGAGTCCTCATTTTTGTCTGCTTGGTTAAAATCGTTCTCAAAATTATATTTTATCCATTTGCGCTGCCTGCTTTAAAAGTAATTTCAAGTCTCAATTTGAGTAGTTCTCAAAATTCAGGTCAGACATCTAAAAACACTAAATTTGCAGGAAAGATGCAACAAAGTATGCTTTATTTATTTCTGCAAAAAACGTGTTCCAGTCTCAAATTGTTCGGAAGAAATAAATTTTGGAAAAAGGGCGGTTGAATGTAGCGTCATTGTCATTGCAAGCGTAATTTTTAGTGGTTCTCAAAATTCAGCCCACTCGTCCAAAAATACCAAATTGTGAGGACATAAATCCTGAGGTGTGCTTTATTTACTTCTGCAAAAAACACTTTCCAATCTCGACTATTTTTGGAAGGAATAATTTTTTTTCAAAATCAGCGGATAAATTTAGTCGAAAGTCATTGCAAGTATCACTTTGAATAGTTGTCAAAATTCAGCCCAAGCGTCTAAAAACACCAAATTGTGAGTACCGAAAGCTTGATGTGTGCTTTATTTATTTCTGCAAAAAGCACTTTCCACTCCCAACAGGTTTTGGGAGGAATAAGGTTTCTCCGAGGAACGGCGAGTAAAGTTAGTCGCTAGTCATAGCAAGCATCACTTTGAGTAGTTCTCAAAATTCAGCTTAGGCGTCTAAAAACACCAAATTTTCAGGAAACATGCAACGAAGTATGCTTTATTTATTTCTGCAAAAAACTGTAGGTCTCAAAATTCAGCCCAAGCGTCTGAAAAGGCCAAATTTTGAATGAACCAAAAAGTTATTGATTTAATTTATCTGGAGTTCTCTAGGTAAAACTTCTGAATCCACACATCGGGCCATATCACTGCAAACGGATAGCAGCTGCACCAAAAACACACATAAATCTGCAACTATTTAATGAAACAAAAAAATGTCAAAGACGAATTTAGATGCCACTGTTGGCGGTGATCCAGGTTCGGAACGTGGAAACTCTGGCATAAGCGCTGGGATGTCCAGCCTGGCAAAGACGAGCTCCGAAGGAAACGATTCCGACTTCCACGCCTCCAATCACCAATGGACCACCAGAGTCGCCATTGCAGGATCCCACACCTCCAATTCCAGATGTGCAGATATGTTGGGCCTGGACGGTGCTCCCGTAGGAATTGGCACAGACAGCGTTGGTTATAACTGGCACTTGCACGTACTTCAATTGGCTGGCAATCGAATTGCTCGAGTCACTGGTTCTGCCTGGAAATGCGAGCTGTTGGGTGAACTTTTTCGGGGCCTGGACCGGAACTCACCCCATCCAGAAACAATGGCGGTTTGGCCTGCAAATGTTCCAGAGTTGGCCGGGGCCAGGCTAATGGAAGAGATCCCAGCTTGGCCCACTGGGATGGAAGCAGCCCGAAGAAGAGCGATGTCATTAAGCAAGGTCGCACTTGCCCATTGGGCATGGACCACGCGACCACTAGCAACCAAACGAACCTGAGTGGGTTCGTTGACGGTGGTTGACGGGTTGTGAGCACCCAGAATGATTTGAACAGCCGAAGCGCTGAGGAAATGGTTCCATCTGTAGAATCATTACTCATGGAGGCCTTTCCCGATTACTTACGTGTCAACGCAATGGGCGGCAGTGAGAACCCATTGGTTACTGATGATGGATCCCCCACAGAAACTGCGGCTGTCAATGATCAAGGCAGCTTGGTATGGGAAGGCTCCGCGTGCTGCGACTTGTCCACCCACAATTTTCAACCCATGCGATTCAGGGGCGGGGCCAATGGGATCCACGAACAGATCGACTGATCGGAGGTTTTCCCAATCAAATTCAAATTCCTGCAAAGAAAATGATCATTTTCCAAAGGGTTAGTAAACATCAGTTGCTAACAGCCCCAAAGTAGGAGTTTCATAGAAAATGGCAGTTTTTAATTCATTCGAATAACTAGTGACAGGTGGACATAAAACTTACCTCAATGGATTCAGCAGCAGCAACAGCGCTTAGTAAGCAGCCAATGGCAAAGGTAAGTAGTTTCATCTTGGCACTCTTGTTTTCAAGCTACCCAGACTGGACTTCGGCTTCAACTTGCCATGATTTTATACCAAATTTGGCCAGAATCATTAATCCAAGAATGCCATCAGTTTATCGAACATTTTGATTAGCTTAATCCGTATTCAAATGACTATCGGGTGATTTTGATAGCTATCTTTCACGGTGTCTGCGTTGCGTCTCCAATCCAATCACCCGCCTGGAAAACTTATGGGATTTGAACAGATTGAAAAGTTATTAGATTTTTTATGGAATTAATTGTGTAGAAATACGGTTTTTCCAGGGTGATTTAAGTAATTAACTCCCTCCTTGTTTGAAGCAATTTAAGGCCCGTTTAGTTGGTTATTCATTCAGCTGATTGTAGAAACTTTCCAGACTTTGGAATTTTCTGGATTTTGGTAGAATTTTGCCATTTTTACCTTAATTTTTGCACATGCAACATTAAAATGCCTAAAATTAATCACCTTTTCTTCAAAGTATGCGTTTGATGCGTTCTCAAAGGCATTTGACTGATGGAGGGCAGGATTTCGATACCAAAATGTTTAATTTTTTCTATGAATCATATCGCCTAAATTAGACTTCAGAGAGAGACGATTTGACCGAAAATCAATAGACTGAACCTTATTTTGTATGCTCTCAAAATTGCAGACGAATAGCGCTGGTTTTGGAATTTTAAAAAATTTTTGGGACCGACTTGAAACGTGGGTGTGAGACTGTTGCGTCACGAAAGAGGCACATTCGAAAATTTAATTATGCCTAAACTGGACTAAAATCAAAATTATTAATACGGAAACCTACAGAAAATACTTCGCTTTATTGGCTCCAGAAGTTGCAGATTTTTGCTTTAATTTTTGGAGTTTTGATGATTTTTTTAAATCGACTTGGAATTATCCGGTGTCTCGTCTACATCAACAGACACTTTAAAAAAATGGTAATGCGAAAACTGCACCAAAACGAGAGACGCTTTATCCCGCAATCGATAGATAATACTTCACGTCGTATGTCCTGAAAGTTGAAAATTTATAACGTGATTTTGCAGTTTTTGCATTTTTTTTAATTGTCTCTGAATTTACCAGCGTTCCTTTCACGTTCAAAGACACTTTCAAAGAATTACTTTGCAAAAACTAAACAAAAACGCTTTATACCGAAATCGATAGATACTACTTCACTTTGTACGTCCTGAAAATTGCAATTTCATGACGTGATTTTTGGAGTTTTGGCAATTTTTTTAAATTACCTCTGTCCTTTCATGTTAGAAGACACTTTCAGAAAATCACTATGCAAAAACTAGACAAGAGTCAAAAACGCTTTATACAGCAGTCAATAGACGATAATTCGCTTTTTTCTTTTTGGAAGTTGCAAACTTTGAACCTAATTTGTGGAGTTTTGGGAAACTTTTTAGATTGTCTTCGAATTAGGCAGCGTTCTTTTCACGTTAAAAGACACATTCAAAAAATCGCTATGCAAAAACTAGACTAGAGTCAAAAACGCTTTATGCAGCAGTCAATAGACGGTAATTTCGTTTATATTTTTTGGAAGTTGCAAACTTATAACCTACTTTGTAGAGTTTTGGGAAACTTTTTAAATTGTTCTCAAATTAGGCAGCGTTCTTTTCACGTTAAAACGCACTTTCGAAAAATCGTTATGCAGAAACTAGACCAGAGCAAAAAGCGTTTTATACAGAATTCATAGATACTTCACTTTATACGTCCTCAACGTTTCAAATTCAAGAAGTGATTTTTGGAGTTTTGATCAATTTTTGAAATCAACTTGAATTTGTCTCCTGTCTCTTTTAAGTTAACAGACTCTTTCAAAAATCATTAGGCAAAAAGATACACCAAAAAGGTAGAATCATTATCAATAGTTAATAGAAAAAACTTCACTTTATATGAATTGCCAGTTGAACGTTCACAGCGAAGTTTTTGGAGTTTTGACGAATTTTTGGAATTCACCTCAAACTATCCGTTGGGTTTTTTACGTCAGCAGCCACATGCAAAAAATAATTATAAAAAAAGGATGCTTAAAAGCTAGGCGTTTTATACAGCAATCGAAAGAATATGCTGCACTTTATATGCTTAAAAAGTTGCAGATTTTTGGCGTATTTTTTGAAGTTTTGGCATTTTTTTTAAATTGCCTGTGTTGAAAAAAAATTACTAAGCGGAAACTGCTAAAAAAAGGTTTTAAAAAGCCGCAGTTTACAATGTTTATTTGATTTGATAGAACTGAAGTGGAATCTGATTAGTTCCAAACATTTTCAAAAATTGTCTTTCCATTTGCAAATCGACGAAAATCGATTACGCACCAGGTAAATCGGCAGAAACATTCCACACTATGTTGCAACGTTTTCCACTTATCGTCGGATTAAGACGGTTTTTTCAAGTGAAAGTTAATGCTTCAACTCTGGTCTATAATTGATTGCTTATTCTATGGGGGTTTTAAGCGCCCAATCAATCACAATCATCATTGTAGCGGAACTTATCAGCAAAACATTGATACTGTGGCGACACATTTCCAGGTGGATGAATTACGTGAAAAACGCATCTGCGATTTAAAAAATCATAAATTTATATTAACATTTTATTTAAAAAATATTTCTTTTTGCTTGCTGCCCTTTTCAATTTAGATTTAATCAAGTAAATCAATGTTTTAGCAGTTTATGCAAAATAAGTGCGAATTTTCCTGCATATTTCAATGAGGGATTAGTGCTAGACATCGATTAGATCTCAAAAACTCAAGATTAACCGAAAATCCGGCGTAAAACTTTGATTAAAGTATAAAACGACGTCGAACTTAATTAATTCGCTCAGTCTGGGTTGAAGTTTGCACGCCAAAAAGTACCAAGATGAATATCGCAATTTTTGCATTCGTTTGCCTTTCGGTCGCATGTTCCACTGCTGATACTCTTCAGGTAGGACCTCCTTTATAATCGTTATGTATTTATGGTCTTTGAACGAATTATTCACTAAAACCGTGGAGAACCATTACAATGCAATAATTCGTTAGAGTATTGCTTAATGGCATTAGAAAATTTTTAAACAGTTTACCGCTCCTTCTTAGAAGGCAGTTCCAATAGCGATTTTGTTACAAATGTTAATGGTATGTCCCCCACATATATGTCAATTTGGAGATATTCCCATATAAGAGATTTACGAGCTTTTTGCATTTGGATTTTTTCAGTTTTTAAAAACTCATCAATTTTTAGGAATTTATTTAGTGTTTCTTTCATAAACTCCAGTAGAGATTAGCGTCAAAAAATCGATGAATGGCAATTGAAAAAATCGCTGAAACTCTAAAAATTACTGTATGAATTTGCAACTTTCAGGGCATACAAAGTCGAATGTCTTCTATTGATTACTCTATAAAACTCTTCTCTATTTCCTGCAGTTTTTGCAAAATAATTTTTTGAATGTGACTCTCAACGTAAAAGAAACATCGGGAAATTCTAAATAAATTTCAAAAATTCCTCAAAACTCCAAAAACTAAGCTGCAAATCTGCAACTTTCAGGTCATATAGGGCAACGTGTCTTCTTTTTAATGCTGACCAAAGAGTCTGTCTGTTTAGTTCAGTTTTTGCACAAAGATTTTTTAAAGTGTATGTTAACGTAAATGACACTGGATATTTTCATGTCAATTTGAAAAATTTTCGAAAACTGCTAAAGCTACTCCATGACTGTGTTATTTCCAGGGCATATAAAGCAGAGTGTATTAATTATTGACTACTTCAAAAGGCTCTTCTCTCGTGAATGGAGTTTTTGCAAAACAATTTTTTGGAAGTGTCCCTTTACGTAAAACAAACATCGGCTTTTCAAGTCCATTTCAAAAATTCCTCAAAACTCCAAAAAATTAGGTGTAAATCTGTAACTTTCAGGTCATATAGAGTGACGTGTCTTCTTTTTAATGCTCTCTAAGGAGTATTTCTGTTTAGTACGGTTTTTACACAAATATATTTTTTTAAGTTTCTGTTAACGTAAATCGGACGCTCGGGTTTTTCATGCCGATTTCAAAAATTCGTCAAACCTCCAAAAAGTAGGCCGTAAACTTACAACTTTTAGGTAGTATAGACGAAAGTGTCTCCTTTCGATTGCTCCATAAAACGTCTCTATCCTTCGTATAGTTTTTGCACAATTATTTTTTTATGTGTCTGTTAACGTGAAAGCAAAGCTGGATAGTTCCAAGTAGCTTTAAAAAAATCGCCAAATCTGCAAAAATTAAGCTACATCGATGCAACTTCCAGACGATATAAAGTGAAGTGTTTTGTCCGGATTTTCATATTAGTCAGTTCTCTGTTTAGTGTAGTTCCGAGGTAACAATTTATTGAAAGCGAACTAGTACCAATCAAACAGTAATCAATACTCGAATAAATATCGGATTAATGACTCCTGTTGGGTAGGAACTTGATTACGATTGGGCCAATATAAAATCACGTGATCTGTACGTCGAGCCCATTGGTCCAGCCCCCGAACAACAGTCAGGACTTCGCATTATTGGTGGAAATGTGGCGGCCCGGGGCGCTTTTCCTTATCAAGCTGCCCTGATTATTGACAACCAGAGTTTCTGCGGCGGATCCATCATCAGTAACCAATGGGTTTTGACTGCCGCCCATTGTGTCGACACGTAGGGAATAGTTAAATATTAGAATCCAATAAATTAAATTGAATTTTAATGGCTTTTTAGAGCTGCAGCTGTCCAGATCATTCTCGGTGCTCACAACCCCAGATCCACAGTGAATGAACCAACACAAGTTCGATTGGCAGCCAACGGTCGTGTGGTTCACACTGGTTGGGAAACTAGTGTTCTTCAGAATGACATCGCTCTTCTTCGAGTTGCCTCGATTCCCGTGGGACAACCTGGAATTTCCGCAGTTAATCTGGCTCCATCCAACTCGCCCACTTATGCCGGATCTACTGGTACCATTTCAGGATGGGGTGAGTCTATATTGAGTATCTAACGGTTGATTATTAATCATCAAGCTTTTCTGGGTTCAAGGGTGGTTCAAGGGTACTTCGAGTGTTTGAGTCCACAGATGAGATTACAGTCTACACTTGGGCTTGTAATGACGTGAAGAGTGTGCAGGTGTGTTTCAAAACACGAACTTCCGGAGTTAAATTCGGCTGTACACTGTTAAAAAAATTTGATTGAATTTTCAGTCAAATGTAATTGAAATTTTTTTCACATACGTAACTGAAAATTCAGATACCTGTTATTGAAAATTCAGAAACCAGTTATTGAAAATGCAAATAACTTTTGGTAAAAAAGAAGAAGAAGAAGGTTATTTTAAAAAAACTTCTTCGTGCCATTCTCAGAGAGAGCAGAGCGTAGGCGACCTCTCGTGCATATTTGCGCAACGAACCATTCAAATTATACAGGGGACATGTCGAGATGTTTTTCTATGTAGATTTCTGCTGTTGTTCTGGTCTGCTTCCAATGTTTTCCACGAAGTGACCAAAGTATCAGCTGCGGGAAAATTTTTACGCCTTGGCCAGGATTCGGGTCCCAGATTGGCATGAAGATGCTCTTTCCACCACGCCAATGTAGCCTACAATACTTTTTGGTGAAACTGTAATAAGCCTTTCTGGCGGATGTCACGTCACTGTCGAAAATTAGATCAAGCCATGCATCGGTTTATACGATGGTACGATGATACAAAAGCGTTCTATTGGTTGGAAATCTGTTAATTCGTCCATTATAATACGAACTGACAGATATTCAATCAGTCCCTGCAAATAGGTTAAGATCTGAAAACTTTTCAGTTACATGTTATTGAATTTTGGATTTTCAATAAGAATACTGAAAATTCAATCACAATGTGCATGAATTTATTTTCAACAACCAAAAACTGAATTTTTAGTTACAAAACTTACTGAAAAGTAACTGAATTTTCAACTCATTTTTAACAGTGTAGTTTCACCATCCTTGCAAACTTTCGGCATGTTAAGACTGCGTTGGAAAGCTCGAAGTCTCGGGTTTAGGGAGGTTTTAGCAATTTCAAAGCGAAAAGTGTGGAAGGTTTTAAAAAGCGAATTTTCCCGGTTAAATCTGAATGTAGTTTATGCGCCTTCACAAACTTCCGAGTTTTAAATACCGTGTTTGAAAGCCCAAAACGCCCACTTTATTTGGTATTTCAAGACTTTAAAATGCATCCCCAACTGGGCTCGTTACGCGGTGAAAAGTGTGGAAGATTTCAAAAAGCGAACTTTCCCTGTTAAATCTGAACGTAGTTTCTGCGCTTTCACACACTTTCGAGTTCTAAAAACCTTGTTTGAAACCCCAAAATGCCCACTTTATTTGGTATTTCAAGACTTTAAAATGCGTCCGTAACTGAGCTCGTTTCAATGTAAAAAGTGTGGAAAGTTTCAAAAAGCGAACTTTCCCGGTTAACTCTGAGTGTAGTTTCTGCGCTTTAACAAACTTTCGAGTTCTAAAAACCTTGTTTGAAACCCCAAAATGCCCACTTTATTTGGTATTTCAAGACTTTTAAATGCGTCCGCAACTGGGCTCGTTTCGAGGTGAAGTGTGGAAGGTTTCAAAAAGCGAACTTTCCCGGTTAACTCTGAATCTAGTTTCTGCGCTTTAACAACCTTCCGGCTTCTAAAAACTGTGTTTGAAAGCTCACATCGCCCGCTTTATTCGGGATTTGAAAACTTTGAAATGCGCCCTCAACTGCTCTCGTCCAGAAGTGAAGAGTTCTGAGTGTGTAAAATTACTTTTCCGAATAAATCTGGCCGAACTTTTAGCGCCTTACGGAACTTCCGGCATCTGAAAGCCGTATTCGAAAGCTCAAAATGCGCGATTATTCAGGATTTTAAAGCTTCAAAATGCGCTTTTAACTTGGTTCGTTCTTAGATCAAAAGTGTGGGGGGTTTAAAGAAAAGAACTTTTCCAGTTAAATCCGGTAAGAATTCTACCGTCTTATTCGAAAGCCCAAAATGTTCGCTTCATTCCGGATTTTGAAATTACTAAATACGCCCTCAACTACTGTCGTCCGGAAATGAAGAGTATTGAGGGTGTCAAATAACAAACTTTTCCGATTAAATCCGACCTTCCTTTTGGCGCCTTTATCCTTTTTATCCTTTAGCTCACGAAACTTCAGCATCTGAAGATTCAGAGCATTCGAAAGCTGTAAATCTCCGCATAATTCGATTGTTTTAATCTTCAAATTGGACGCTCAATTGGGCTCGTTCCGAGATCAATCATTGTTAAAGCTTTTTCCAAGCGACTACGTTTGGTTCCCGCACAAACATCAAGTTATTTTAGTTCCTTATGGTAATTGAAAGACACTTTGTTAAAATCTCAAACAAATAGCGCCCAAAAAGGGCGATATTGTCGCTAAAGTTGATGAAAACATTTTAAGCCGGTTTGGTCCACCCTGTATCAAACGTTGCAATCTTACGCAATTTTAAGAACGTTAATTTTTTCGTAAATAATTCAAGAACGAAACTCGTTTTCAATACAATACAGAATTTATCATTAAATTCACAGCAGTTTTTGCCCATTTTACCATTTTCCAAACAAAGTTGGGACGCTCGGTATATTGAGGTTTGCAATATATTTTTAAGTGTCTTCAAAGGCAAGTGGGAATTTGATTTTCTAAGAGCTCTGGAAAAAATTACAACTTTTCCAGTCTGAATGGCACGTTTTTGGATTTTTCAAGAACAATGAAAAAATAGTCTTAACGAAAAAAACACTTTGTTAAGTCTTAAAGACGCAACAATTTTTTCGCGTGTCATGCCATGGATTTAGACCCAACTTGGCACGATCAGTGTGCAAGCGGCAGCTTCAGTTATAAAAAAGGTTTTGTATCACTAATTAGGAAAATTCCTTAGCTAAACTCAACATAGACAGTTTTTAAGGCCCAAAAAAAAGAGTTTTTGCTATATCCGACACTAGCAGTCATTGTCCATGTTTGATTCACATAAAGCCACACAGTTTTTCCGAAAAGTGTCTCAAATCATTCCGATTCCAGGAAGAACAAGCGATGCCAGTACCACCATTGCCAATGAGTTGAAATTCGTGGAAGTTCCCATAATTTCAAATTTGATATGCACTCTTTCATATGGACCCCTGGTGAGTTCTCAGCACGTTTGCACCTCAGGAGCTGGAACTCGTGGAGCCTGCAATGGTGACTCTGGTGGCCCATTGGTGGTCGCAGGTGTTGAAATCGGAATCGTTTCCTTCGGATCGCGATTGTGCGAATCTGGAAATCCCAGCGTTTTTGTCCGAGTGTCCCATTTCAGGGACTGGATCACTTCCAACTCTGGCGTCTAAACCTCAGTGGATGGATTAAGGGAAAGAAAATAAAGTTCATCCAATGATTAACCGCCTTTTATTGTGTTCTGGGGTCGGTACGGGCACAGCATAAAGATTATACCTGCTTCAAAGGACTGGTTGCACAATTTAATACCTTTGATGCCCGAGATGAAGGTTCGAGCTAAGCCTTTATAATATAAGTAAATTTAAGGAGTAACCTTGATGATTACTTGGGAAACGACATCCTGCCCAACAAGTGGTCCAAAAGGGTGTTGCATCACAATTTTCTGCCTGCCACCTTGACGCGATCAATGAATGTATAAAAAAAACTCTAGAATAGGCCTTTTAGCCTGATTCTTGATTTATTTGACATTGCATTTCGGTTGGCCTCTTGTCGCTTCTGCTATTAACCCGCATCATTATCTTCTGGACTTTAAATTCAAATCCCGGAGCCTCGAAAACTCGAAATACCTATAGTCTTCGTACGGCTCTTTGTCATTTAACTTCTCTATTGAAAAGCGATTTTACACGGGGTTTTGATTGTTTTTTTACTATCAATTTCACGCTGCTTTGAAAGAAGTTTCAGGACACTTATTCTGCTAAGGAATTGCTTAGGAATGTAGTGTTTACCTCCTTCAATATTAATTTTAACGTCAGGCTGAGTAATTGGGAAACAAATAACACCACCTTCTTTTCATTGATTTTTTTGCAAAATTTACCACTAATTTCATTCATTTTTTACACTAATTTTCTAAATTTAATTTTTCGTGTATTATCTTTCATTTTGCTGCATTAGGACATTTTCGCGGCTTGTGTGTTTTATGAACAATCTAAGGCAACGTAGAATCTTCACCTTCTTAACTTGGACATTTTTGCTCCCGTCTTTTTACAGGTTAGCAATTTTTAATGGTGCCCCATTAGGAAAACAACAATCACTGTTTCAAAATCGTCCTAAGAAATTTTAAGGAAGGATGGTTGCTCAGAAATTCTCCACGGTTTTCAAGATAAACGCTTGCAAACGTCGACCGCCGATAAAAAATTACAATTTTCATTCCAACTTTTAAAGGTTAGTAATTTCGGATAACACTTATTGAAGGAAAAATAGTTCTCGAGACGCTCTGTAGAAAAGGTGCTAACGATTATTCAGATATTCTCAACGGTTTCTAAGCTAGACGCTCGAAAAAATCGGCCTTCGTTCAAAAATTACCAATTTCATTCTAACTTTCTAAAGGTTAGGAATTTCGGAAAGAATGATCCTTCTCAAAATACTCTATAGAAAACATTCGAATGATTACACAGATATTCTCACCGGTTTCCAAAATACACACTTGCAAACATCGACTGTCGTTAAAAAATTACAATTTTTAATCCAATTTTTTAAAGGTTAGGAATTTCTAATGCAGCTCAGTTAGGAAAAGACAGCTCTTGAACTTCGACAACCGTTTAAAACTGACATTTTGCCTGCTCCCTTTTTAGAGGTTACGAATTTCCGGCAACGTTTTCCTCACATAAGACAGCTTTCAAAACGCTCTATTGAAAAGATCTAGTGATTAATGCATTTTTTTTAAATAGTGTCCAAGATATTATCGAAAATGTAAGTGAAGTCATCAAATTTTTAGTCTAGCGCTTTAGGGGTTAGAAATTTTCTGTCCAGTCTAACGAGAAAAAAGTAGCTTTAGAGGTTTCAAAATTAGCAGAAATCGGGCCTATTTTTGCTTCAATCCCTCTAGAGATTCGTAGATTCTAATAAAGCTTAAATAGAGAAAGATCCCTTAGCGTCCAAAGGGCCTTTGCCTAAATGGGGAAAAATGACCATAGAATCGCTTCAACTAAAAGCGGCTAGAGGTTATGGAAATAATTTCAACGGGTTTTAAAGATAATACTACGAATACAGATAATCTTAAGCGAGTGTTTCCAGTGCGGCTATTGGTTTCGAGTCATTCTTGCTAAAATAACTCGACATTCAATTTTTTCCCAAGAACTACATTCATCCCCAGAACGGCCGTAGAGTGACAAAATCAAACTTTGCATTTCTCCAAACTAAACTTCAGAAAACCCATTGATTTCGTAACTGTAAGTCTCCCAAACTGCACTACTCATAAAGTAAAATACCCATTTACAATACAAAACCTTTTTGTCAAACCGTGAACAAGGCATTATATTCGGTCAAATTCGATTTGGCTTGAGCATTTCGGGTATGTAGTACATTTCAACTTGCCTGCATCAAAAGGAATTCCTTTTAAGTAACAAAAATAACCTGCTGGACCTTCCATTCTTCGCTATCAAGCACGGTGTACATTTTTACCTCAAATGTACGTTCTATCCTAGGAAGTGCGGCTTTTGAAACTTATATCACGCTGGTTTACCTAACAGTTCAAATGGCTGATGAAGTAATTTTTTTGGGCGCTCAATGGTCAGCTGCTCAAGGCCTAGACGAGTGCCAAAACCCTGGTTTCCATGTCTAACTAATTTCGCAAGAACCGTCTTTAGAAGTGTACCATGTAAAAGGTTTAAAAATTTATTCTGACGCCACGGATGGGTTAATCGAATCCAAATTTACACCACATACAAACTGAAACTTGCGTTATCAAGTGCTGAAAGCCTTATTTCGATGTCTCAACTGATTGCTCAGAAATCGTCTTTAGAAATGTACGATGTAAAAATGAGGAACCGCGCAAAAAATCTTGAAAGTTAAAAATTCTTTCTGATGGCACCAGTGTCTTGAATAGAACTCAAGTTTCACTCGAGTTCTGAACTCCTTATTCCCGTTCATATTGAAGATTAATGTTCGAGTTTCGCAAAAACCGTCAATTCACAGCCGATAAAATATAGCAATTAGTGACGAAAACTTCCCATTGAATAATCGGAGAAATGAATTTAATCCGCAACCCTGTCCCAGTCTCCTATTATTGATGTGACTCACTCGCTTGACATACAATAAGGGCCAAAAGGCCCACACCCTTCCGCAATTTAGGAACTTCGTCAATAGAATACTAGGAAAACATTAAGTTGGTGTCTAACCCTACCGTTTCCGCTTCGTTTCGACGATTCCAAATGACCAACGTGTGCAAAACGAGGGCGGCATTTGACTGAAAAACCTTTTTAAAATCGGTCGATTTTGTTTGCATCTTTGTATACTGGCGGTTCGGGTTCCCCATAAAAATATATCACGAAAAAACCAGTCGGTTAAAGGGCCATTTGAGTGGACAGAAGCGAAATCTTTTATTTCAGTGGAGGACTTTCCATCTTCATACTGCGAAAGGGTTTAGTGTAGCCCGGCAATGGCTCATAAACAATATGTCTTTATCTAAAATGCCTCCTCAGAAAAAGGGTAGAAAGTTGTCCAGTTGGGTGTTCTAAGGTGGTCATTATCTCTATAAAGATTTATCTCTACAGACTCAATAAAAGTGAATTTGTAACTTTTGTGCAGCTGTCAGAGAGTGACAAACTGGTTTCGGCGTTTTTCATCGAAACTTTATCGCAGCTGATTGAAATTCATTCATTCATTCACTAACATTGATTATAATGAAGTAATCGGACGTCAAAAGGACGTCATTTTCATGTTATTTTATGTTATTTAGTGTTGAATGCTTTTGTAAGGACATTTAAGGACAGAATAAGTTTCTTTCTAAGGTAGCTTTCGGTAAAAGCATTCATTTGCTAAAGAGGAAAAAACATTAACGTTTTTTGACCAAACCTTTGGACATACTTAGAGTGAAGTGTGTTCTAAAGATCGTGAAAATTTGAAATTGTTACTTACTTTAGTTTAGAAGATGCCAATTTTTTAATGAGAGAGTGCAGTTGATAGTGATTTCATAGAGTCTTCATTTTGATAGTGATATTTACTAAGCTGGAAAAAAGCAGGATTCTGGGCGATGTTTATAAAACTTTCGCTAAATTTAGAGTGAAGTGTCTTCTAAATATGTTGAAAATTTGAAATTGTTGCTTCGATTAGTTTAGAAGATACACATTTTTAAAAGAAAAACTATGTCTTATCCGATGGACTAGACACAACTTAATACTCTTACATGCGGTTGGACAACACTGGTATGTGTTATATGGTACGAGACTAGTGGGGTTTTCGGTCAAAAAACAAGTTTTTTTCCTCCAACCGTTGGCCAAAAACCTCACCATTCTCGTAACATCTTATGCATTTCATCATTAAATTCGTTAACAAAGTTCAGCCGTTTGATCCAATGATTTTCTTCGATTTAACGAGTTTTCTTAGAAAAAATAAGATTATAAGGCGTGGCTTTGAACAAAAAATTTTCGAAAATCAACCAAAAAAAGATAATAGATGAACAATTACTGAAACTGTAAAACAGAAGTTTTAAAAATTCATAGACAAGAAAGGATTTTTCAGAAAAAAACATAGTTAAACGCGAATAATCCGCTAAAAAATAGTACAACGTCGCCTTACAATTACTGTCAATCTTCAATGCCATTGCGTCAAATTAGTAATTTGTGTAATGGTGATTAGAAAACAGTGTACGCGTTTTGTCCCGTTCAAATTTCAAAGTTTTGCAGAATTTCCCCATTTTCCTGCAGAAAATTGCTGATTTTCTCAAACAGAGAGCTTTTCTTAACTAGTTTGCGACATTTTCCCGGTCGCTAGTGCGATTTTCCAACAAAAAACGCGATTTTTCTATACCCAAACTTTCTGACGTCTCCCGTCAAAAAGTTAAATGGCCTACATTGTTTGGGATGTTCAAATCTGTACTTTTCAGATAAATGGCTGGGAGAAACTGGCTGTTTAATGCTGGGTGAGTTTTCGAAATAATTAATCTTCTAGGCGATTAAAAAAACTTAGCTGTAAAATACCCCTAAGGTGCAGGTGCAAACAATACCTTTAGAGCGCTGAAACATTTTAACGCGGTAACCCTGACCAAGTGGACGAAACGATTCAAAGAACTTCATAGAATCGGTTGAGGAATACAGATTGTTCCTTATACCGGGTAGTGGTCAACTTAAGACAACATATTGTTGCGTTCAAACAAATTTCTCTTGTTCGGAGGTTAATGGTTTCCGAGGTACTTTAATTTTGGGATTCCATTAAACTAATCTGATAAGGCTTCTTATGTAAGCTATCTACTAGATGTTAGCATTAATTTGCCAAATTACCAGGACCTTGTATTAGCCTTCGATTAATTATAAAATACATAATTAATTTTCTAAGAAGCTTTTGGGATCATAACTAGTACTAATCGATTTCCATAAGTTTATGGCTGATGTAAATTCTAACGGAAAATAGTTCCGTTTATAATATTTGTTGCTTGAAAGTTATAGATGATGCGCTAATTTTGTCCATCCAAGTTTTTATGTACAGGGTGTTTCCTCATTAGTTGACACTCAGCGTTGTTTCAACTGTTTTCTTTATAAAACGTTGTAAAACTAAAATAGCCTTGAAGCAAGACAGACAAACAAAAATCATAGAGAAAATAACAATAATATTTGTGAAAATAAAATCGATGATTCCCTCGATGGCCTTCATTTAGCTCTAGGTATACTTTTTCCATAATCATTTTAAATTTTATCTAAAACGTTTTGAATCAAATTTGAAATAATTCAAATTTGTACCCGGACTCTCATACGCAATTTTCTTCAAATAACTCCAGAGAAAAGAATCAAGGGGCGCTAATTGAAAGATTTCAATTGTAAATCAAGCCGAAGTGTTCAATGTAATCAAGAAAATTTCCATTGCCCAATAATAATAGATCTTGATCTTGTTCAAGAGACAAGATGTTTGGAGAAAAACATGTTGGTTATGCTTAGAATCTCGCTCCTATTGAGCAACACTGGGCAGCATTACGAGAGCTTAATTGTGATCTATCAGTGGCTTTTTAACTAACAAGGCGGACCCACGGTGGTCAATACATCAATAGATTAATCCCCGATGCGTGTGGGATTTGGCTTGGCGACCATTGCCTTACATCGGCAGAAAACCAGAAAATCCTAACTGGAAACTGACCATCCAAATGGAGACATCCATCCCTCATCTCTAACACCGATACAGCTAAACTCTTTTACCTACTTGTCACCTGTCAGCATTGGGTCAACCTTTGCAAATATGCCCACGCATTATGAGAACCGATTCGAATATGAAATGGCACAAAACCGAAACGGGCCTCCACTTTCGGCCTTTTGTGCGGTTTTAACAGATTAATCTAACTGTATGTACATGCGGATATTTGGGCAAGCTGCACCACCCTTTCGCAAATACTTTTCACGTTATCTTGCAATGCCCGACAAAACATCTGCCGTTATCCCGGAAAAGGGTTTTCGGTGACTTATTCATGCCATCAAGTTATTTATCTGTCGGTTCTTACGGGATATTTAATGCGACGAGTGGACAATATATTGATTGGCCCGCAATTGCATTGAGCTGCGACATTTGCTCATATTTTTCGTTCATTAGGCAACGTTGTTCAATTTTCAATTGAACCGTTTAGCGGTTGATTTCAATTTGCAATCAACCGCTGTTTCAAAACGCCTTTTGCAAGTGCAAAAGTAGCCCCGTTGCCCAATGAATGAAAAAATGCCTGCAAATGTCCCAGTTTTGATCCTTATGGGACAACATAAAAGACACTAAACGCTGTTGAACACAAAAGTGCATCAATTTTCAATGAAGTTTACTTCAACCGCTACAAAATTCAATGCAAAATTAATCTTGTGGTTGATTAGCCCCAATTGCGTTTAACTGGGACCTTTGCCCATATTTTTCTTTCATTAGGCAACGCTGTTTAATTTTCATTTGAACCGTTTAACAGTTGAATTCAATTTGCAATCAGCCGCTGTTTTAAAACGCCCTTTGCAAGTGCAAAACTAGCCCCGTTGCCAAATGAATGAAAAAATGCCAGCAAATGTCCCAGTTTTGATCCTTATGGGACAACATAAAACACACTAAACGCTTTTGAACACAAAAGCACATCAATTTTCAATCAAATTTACTTTAACCGCTACAAAATTCAATGCAAAATTAATCTTGTGGTTGATTAGCTCCAATTGCTCATATTATAAGATAATTTGAATACGTTGCATGTAGTTTGAAATCCAATTGAATACGTTTAAAATTGTAAATTGCAAATTTTCATAGTTTTAACGAGAGTAACGTCTTTAAAGCCAAATGTATTTCACATCCAAACGTTTTTGCAGAGCTTGCTTAAGCCAAAGCGGTTAAACAAAAGGTCTCTAAATCCAGTAAAATGTGTTTTTAAGCAAATCGCATTGACGCGTTCTTTAAGCAAAGCAATGCGTCCAAATCAGGATTTTAAGCTGGGAATGTTTAAGCAAAGTAGCTCTAAAACCAGCCGAAGCTCGAATTTATTCCGAAATACGCACGTTTAGTAGCTATCGACGTTGTAAAATATATTTAAAGATAAATGTATTTTACAACCAAACGTTTTGGCAGACTTTCAGTCGAAGTTGTTAAACAAAATAAAAATTGTTTTAAGCAAAGTAATGCGTCCAAAGCAGGCCTTTAAGCTTCGAATGTTTAAGCCGAAGCTCGATTTTATTCTGAATTACACGCGTTTAGTGTCTTTAAATATTGTGAAATAGTTTAGAGCAAAATGCTGCTCCAGTTTCGTATTCTTTAAATCAACTCAAGTATTCCAAGCCAAGCAGAGCCAATGTCTTGTTCTTGTTGTTAATCTTCTCAATTTTGTCCTTTTGACTTTCGATTTTCCAATTTTGCTTAACTTTCTATGTTTCTCTTAACTTCAAGAGTTTTGTTTATTCCTCATTCTATTACTCGCTAACTCTATTTGAATTTCTCTGGCACAGTCGGGAAATTCCAATTATTCAAGAAAAATCGTCTGAGCCTAAGAGTGACTGCAAGTACCTACAGTCGAAACATTGACCGTTTCTCCAAAGTAGAAGCTTTGTCCATCTTCACCCCCACAATCCACTAGTGAATAATCCTGAACGAAAACGCTGGATTTTCGGGAAACTTCTTGAAGAAAATGGTTGGGATTAGTCAGGATCTATCAGGTCGCGTGCTTGTTTTGCTTGCTTTGCAATCGAAGCTACTAGAAGAAGCCATCAAAATGCATCGATTGATGCCTTGCCAAGTAAATCTTTTACGCCGAAGAAATGGGCCAATTGTTTGAAAAAATGTCACATCAATCAGGTAATAATTCAGCCCTTTACTTTTTAAGTATGAACAGGTATGAAAGCTTGCATTTCTTAGGACTTTTCGAGCTTCGGCCACCTCCGCCCTCCCACTCCTTGGACTTGTGGTCATTTCTTCCTTGTTCAATAGCCGGATATTGATTGAAACAG